CCGAGACTGGGGTAGAAGCAGAAACTTAAAAGCAGAAGGGACAGAGACAAGTGAAGAAGTGAACGTCTCTTCTTCATCGTGGCAATGTTTTTTTTGGAAAAGCGGTTGGTTTTGTCGTTTTTTTTTTTTTTTTTTTTTTTTTATTTCTTTTTTTGTCGGTGTTTCGACGCTTCCGGAATCCCGACTTCTGTGAGCAGGGTGCAGTCGTCTCATCCCAAGATAATGGCGACTCCGCACAAAGACATCTCTCAAATCCGTCACACTGCAGAGCGGATTGCACGCTCCGGATATTGTCACCTTGTATGACCATATCAGTGTTGCGAAGTTGCCACTCGGGAGTTGGAATGATTCCGGAATCATTCCGCGTTTTCACAACCCCGGAATGGAATGGGAATGGAATGGCGGCAACGTGGAGGGAGCGGAATGGGAATGGAATTAGGTGCCTTTTGCCCGGAATGGAATGGGCACAATTCTTTTTTGTGTTATACGGTTAGCTAAACTGAGCCAGTCAGCGAGTCACTTGCTCAGAAATAAAAAGAGCGGGAAACTGCTAGCCCGCGTAAGGCCCTGACAGACTTATACGAAAAAAAAATGCAATACAAAAAGCAAGTGTCAAAGCAAAGAGCGAAGGGGGAGAGGGGGGTAACGTGGCGCCTTTCACGGACGCGCAGGCGTCGGGCTTTGATGGCGTTACACGAGAGCGAAACAAGAAACCAAGCGCCAAGCAAAAGAAAAGGGAGCGGAAAACAAAGAAACCGCCATCCACAACTCCTCATCGTACTTCTTGTCATGCTTTTTTTGTTGTTGTTGCGACGCTTTGTAGAATGCACGCGCGCGCACAGACCGAAGGCCGGTTCAGACATTTGCGTTTGAGTGCGTTTGACTGCGTTGCGTCGAGTACCGAAAGCGAGTCACCGGCACATCTGTGTTTCGTATCAAGCGTGAAATCCAATTCAAGGAATCATCTTGGCACGCGATATAAGCAGCAGGGATGTCCTGGTTTCTCGCTGCCGCAACGCAGTCAAACGCTGTCAAACGCAACTGTCTGAACCAGGCTTGAGATCTGGGAGCGGAAGCGACTCATAACTCGCGGAGCTCTGATAACTCGTTGACTCGGGCGCCGCCGAAAGATGATGAGGTATTGTTTTCTTATAGTTCCGGGAGCGTTGTTTAGCAGGCAGACAACCCTGCTGCCTTCCACGTTCATTCGTGCGCACTCCTTTGAAGTGCGAAATGTGGGTTTGCTTCGGCATTCAAACAAAGCGAGATTCACTTCCCTCTTCTCCTCTTGCACTTTGCTCCGAGCCTTGTTTTTTTATACTGCATTTGTAGTGCAAGTCTGCTTTTTACTTTCTTCTTTGTCCCGACGCTTGTTTTCTGTGTGATATGTTTAGTGGGTTGGGGTTACAAGCAAGTTAGCGGATTCCCGTTCATTTCCTTTGACTTTCGTCTCTGCATTCTTCGTTTCACCTTGCGATGGACTGCAGCGGACGCTACGAGTCACTTATAGGCAATCCAGCACCGTGAGCGGGACTGCAGGGTCACGCGACACTCAGAAGGCACTGGATTGGTTTCGATGGCTCTCGTGCTCTGTTGAGGTCCATCGTAAGGTGAAGTAGACTATCGTCACCGCTATTGGTGTAACCGAACTGACTAGACCTGCAGAAAGACCGTCCCGCTCCAGACGAGGCGTAATCGTTGCTGCGAGGGCAACTGAGAAGGAGAGCTGGGTGCTAGCTGCCACTGAGGTTGTGGCTTCCGCACGTCTTGGCTGTCCGGTCTGCATTCGTGCTCCTTGTCCTGCACCCTGTTTGAGGCGGTGAGAAGTCAGTTGGATGGTGGTGTTGAGAAAACACGGAGAACGTCAATTCGAACGGTGTGGTATTACCCCGTTAATTGTATCTTGATGAGAAGAGCTTTGTCAACGCTGACTGCCCGACCCGTCGCCACTACGCGAACAACCGACACCGAGGTGGAAGAATGAATTGGTTGGTACCGTCTGCTGCCTGAAACCGCCGTTCGATCAGCGCGAAGAGGAACATCCCAATTCGGACGAGAAGACAATATAAATACAGATCGAGTCATAGCATCGTGGAAGACATTTTTCGACATTAGTTGCGAAGCAAATAAACAAGGTGCACGCTAAAAGTTGTGCAACGAAACTATACACGGTGCACTCGGCGTATATCATCAAACTTTATTCGCCATCTGAAGAGGAAACACGAGAATGAGTATGCGAAGGGTGGAAAAGGGCAGGCGAATTAGCCAAAAATTGAATTGAATATGATAAGTAATATCGAGATTCGTAAAGCAAGCGTGAACTTATGCGTTTTAAAACAGGTTTCGCGACATTGTCTATACGGTCCCTCGTGCTGCGCCACAAAAGTTGCATTCTGTCAGAGAATGTGTTCTTGCCGCTGTGCATGGAGTCGCTTCCAGCAGTGTACTAGCCGTGTTGCTGTATTTGGAGAATACAGTAATATAGCTTATTCCTGCGCCACGCACGAACTAGATATTTTTATCGTCTTATCAAACAAACACGCTGGCCGCGTGTGTCCTAAAAGTCAGATGCAAAAAGGTTAAAAAAAGAAAAGAAAATGAGTGGATTTAAGTTTTGCTGTTTGTTGCGAGCCACGTGATAGCGAGACCGATGTCTTAAACACGCATCGACATATTAAGGAGCTTTCTCGATGTTTGCAGTACATTGTAAATAAACACTTTGTGCCACCAGCGGTCTGCTTAATAATATCAATACTTTTTTAAAAAATTTAGCTTTTTTTTTTTTTTTTTGCTATTGTTTCTGCATTTGATAATGTGAGTTTTATGCCGCTTATGCCGGCAACACAATGTAGCTGTCAAGTGCCGATTTTTACGTTTAGGAATTAAAGGAATGGAATGGAACGATTCAGCCATTCCAGGAGTGGGAATGGGCCCAGTGTCTCCATTCCTAGGAGTTGAAAGGAATTGAATTATCGAAAACTCTAATTCCCCGGAATGGAATTGCAATGGAATAGGGGTGCCCATTCCGCAACACTGGACCATATGATTAGTGTTCTATAAAAAAAAAACTTAATTCGAATAGTGTGACATTGCAATTATGTTAAAACAATCTTGCACTGCTACACAAGGCAAAAAGAAAAGTTCCGGTATGACCATTTTTGTTCTACAAAAGTTAAATAAACTTTGCACACCACCCGTATGTCTTCGCTATTTCCGACCTGCCCTCTGCCTATATATTCCGTACTGTTGTCGCTGAAATCCAGTCGACCGACAGCAGTATATCGAGGCCTGCCGATTTTCAGCAGTTGGAGCAGCCCCGGCCCGGCAGAATCTCAGCTTCGCCCCTGAGAACGTAAGCCAGAATTATACTTTTTTAGATAAAAATGTTAGCCCTTTTTCTTTTTTAAATTTCGTTTCAATTCATAGAGCATGGTAACCTAGCCTCTATGCGTACTTCGAACGTTCGTAATATTTATTTCTAAGATTAATTAATTAATTCACTCCGTGACGCCTCGCTTTTCTTAGCTCTCAAACACATAATATTGAGCAGTTTTTTTCTCCGCACCTTTATGGGTCATTTATGTTTTCTCACTCATTTATAGAATGTTTCACATACTGGGCAGTTTAATTGAATTCAGACACCTCCGTTAAAGTGATTTAGTTATAACGATAAGAATGTGATGGCGCAGGCCCAAGGACCTTCTAGTTCTCAACCCAGACTCGGGTGGTTCAAGAAAAGTGTGATTTAGTCTTCGCTTTTCACTGACCCGCGTCGTTTCTGCAGAGAGTAAAACATTTCCTCAGGTTGTGGGATGATTTGCAGATTTTTCCTGGGCGGCTGTATTTTCGTTTCAAGGCGCGTGACAGCGGAGTTAACGTTTTCCGACTGCGGGCCTTTGAGGTTGTTTACATTAAATTCAAACAAAATATTAGGAAGAAAAAAGGTCGGGTTCGACGAGTGCTGTTTTCAAAACCTATTCTGCAGGCTAGGCGGACATTAGCTGAACTGACGATCGTCATGCTAAGTTTACTCATTAACTAAAGTTCGTTAATGAACGTTTTAATAATTGGTTTTATGGTTCATTCTGGAATTTTACTTTGACGGCATTTAGTACTAGAAACCAGACCTATTGAGAGAATTGGACAAAAAGGACATGCATTTTGAATAAAATTCTATGATTTTTCTTTTTCTTTTGCCCGATTGAAAAGTTGATTGCCAAAAGAGCGTAGCCAGCCCTGCCCACAATGAGGCTTTGACGAGGGACGCGGTCGTTTTAGTCATGTCACTTCTGTCGTCTGCGCATCTGCCAAGGACATATGCTGCCGAGATAGTGACGAAACGCCTGAAACGACGACGTCATCCTTCCAAGCGTCATTGTGGGCAGGATTTGAGCGGGCAAAAAAAACGCGAAAGTTGATCGCACGAGCGATTTCGCACTACTATATCACCCCATTTATAAAATGAAGACTCCGAATTTCTTGTTTTCCTGATCGACCTGTGCATACAGGCATTTTTAAAAGTAGGGGTTGCGTGGCAAAAAGTCGTAAACAAAAATAGGTATATTTGCGCGGTGGGACCAAGACAAACGGAACGCGTCGAATGACGAAAGCCACGGCTCCTGAAAATTCTTACCGAATCCAGTCATTAATAATAGTTTCGCGAAATTTTCTCATTCATTCCGCTGATTTAGTCTTCGCGGCACTACAGGTGCACCCGCCGCGCTCTTGTCTGTACCTCAGACACGAAGCCAGGGGGGGGGGGGGGGGGGCTCCTCTCTCTCCTCCCCCTCGTACAACATTTTGCAATAAGTGGCTTCGCCCCCCCCCCCCCCCCCCCCCCCCGCTAATCAGAACCCTGGCTACGTGCCTGCTGCAGCAGCTGAGGCGCGAGCGTAACCTCATCGTTTTTCTCAGATGACTGGGGACCTCTGGCAAAGGATGGCGGCCGTGGCACCCATGTTGCAGTCATCGTCGCTTGCCTCCCGGATCTCAACGCGGAGATGCGGTACCTGGCCAAGGAGAAACGGAGCCCGGACAGTTCGCAAGTGGGGTCAATCACCGCCCGGGACCAGGCCCTCAAGGAGACCCAGCTCTCCATCACCTCCGCCATTGGACCACTCGTCTCCCTTTTGGAGGTTAGCCTTCAAGAGAAGACCATCAGGAGGGAGGTGGTGGCTGAGCGCCTTGGGGCGACATTTTCTCAGATGGGGCGGCTCTCCGTGATGGCCACCCGCAAGCGCCGCGAATGTGCCATCACGAGAGTCACCCCAGAGCTTCGCCACATAGTGGCGGAAGACTCTGGGGACGAGGGCTCCTCGGAAGCTCTTAGTGGAATCGTTCCTCGTGAGCTCGGAACGAGGAATCAGACACTGAAGGCGCTTCGCGAGGCAGGGCAGCCCTCTCCTCCGGCTGAGGGACCTGCTTATCTAAGGGCGCGAAACTTCGCTACGAGATCCACCTCCCAGTCGACCAGTGGCGAGAGTCATCAACATCCCTTCTACGCCACGGGGCCCTTCGCGTACAGAGGATACCGAGGTAAGTCTGAACCTCCACCTCCTGACCTAAAAAGGTAAAAACTACATTTAGACGAAACCCGGAGACTGCGGGGAAAAAGACAACACTAGACGAAGTTTTAAACACAGCTGTGTTTCAGACTTCGTGTTGTGTTGTACTTCCTTCCCGCCAGTCTGGGTTTTGTAAAATGTCAAACCTTCACCAGTTTGTGTGTACAAGCTACAATAGTGTCTCCCCTACTGGCAGACCAACCTTACGCTGTATAAATCACTAAAACGTCCAATTTGACTTTTTTGACCTCCGCCGTCCAGAACCTACTCTTCCTATACACAATTCCAAATGACGCTCCTAGGCCACCGCCATGTTGCTGATGCTGATGCGGCTGGTGAGACTCTCGCGCCACCTATCAGCTAGAAATTTTCTTCCACTCTTTGGGACTTTGAAGACCTGCTCAGCGCGGTTCTCTAACTACGTTTTTGGGGTTTTGCATTCGACGTTTTCTCGCCTCTCTTGAAAGTTTCCACTTAATTTTTTTATGCGTGCTGCGTACCCTTTTTGTGTTATCTTCCATTGTGAGAAATACGGATGGTAAGTGCCTGCCATTCAAGCTTTTCTGCCCGACATTCACGGGAAACGAACGAGGCGAAGGACGTCGAACGACCCTCGACGCAATTTTACGAACATTGTTCTCCTCCCGCCCAGAGATAATCCGTTTAGGATCCTCAGTCATCTCCAAAAATAGTTGTCCGGGTTGGGGTGAGAAACGGGTCAGTCGCGTTTGTTTCTTTGCCTTGGTGCGGTTGTGAAAAAAAGAAGCACTCCCCAAAACGTGCCCCAAAACGAAGTCATCTCGGATTCCGTCCGATCGTCAAGATCTGACTGTCGTCGACTGTGACTGTGTTATTTGAGATCTTTCTCAAATAAATTATTTACGGACAACGCTGCATCGTGTGGTACATACGATATATTGTTCGAATGTTAACACTTCCTCAATTGTATATCCGTGTCCTGTCCATCGTAAAACGCGTTATTTGTGAGCGTGAAAAATGCATGCCTTTCGGCCCTCTTCTGTTACAATTTATTTTTGACAGCAAAGCGCTTTGTCGTTTCACATGCGGCGAATCCCGCGGCGCCGTCAAAACTTATCGTAAGAAAAAGAACAAATGAGTAGAACTACACCTTCCAGTCGCATTCGTTCTGTCGCGCGCGCACCCAACAAAAATAGTTAACAGTTTTTGTTTGCTTGTAATTTTTTTGCTTTCTTCTTTTTTTCAAATGTGGCACACTGCTTTCTCAATGTCCTCCGGAAAATACATGTACCATGAAACACAAAATATAGCGGGAAAAGACAACAATTTAGCCGCCAGCAACGTTTGAAACTGCGCCTACGCAGGCTGCGCCTATTGAAATCACAGTCCACTCAGTTAGGGTTAGGAGGGACGCCGGTAAGAGTCTAGCCTCAAACTCAGTGATTGGGCTCGACAACGGTTTGTTGCCCTGGGGTCGAGTGTTTTTTGGAAAGGTGTATAGTCCGTTGCAACTCAAGAAGGTCGGGCGAGGTTAAGACGGGCCGGGGACATTTTATCAAGGTTTTGAGCCCACGTACCAAAGCTTTGAACAAGCAGTTGTGAACTTGGCACTAAGTGCGACATAGGCTGAAGTATAAATACCAGTACTGACGAATGGTACTTACCTTTGTTTAGAGCGGGAACTATACGAAACCTATGGAAGCACTTACTATCAGGTTCACACACCCGCCGTTGCCCACCCAAATCATGTAACCCCTCCCTCCTCATTACAGGTCGAGGGACCTCCTGAGCCTCCTGGCGTAGGGAGTGACGAGCAACGGCCGCCCCCTTTTCCCCCAGGGAAAAGAAAAAAAGAAGAAAGGAATAATTTTCGTTTCTATAAACGCTGATGTCATGCATTTTCTGCGCTGTGACACTCTCTTGGTGAGCAAAGGGAAAAAAAAAAAGAATAAACGAATAATTTGTCTCAATGAACGCTGGTGTCATGCATTTTTTATGCGCGTGGGAGGCTCGCTCTCGGTGGCAATCGTATTGCAACGAATCCTTCAAAGGCGTAACCTGCTGTCATCTGCCTTCAGAGGAGCTTTGAGACGTTGATGTCGGTTTTTGAACTTGATGCTTTCATAACAATTCATTCTTTTAACCAGCTAATTATTTCAATCTTCACGAACCCCCCAAAAAAAATCAACTTCACCACGCAGACGTGGCCGAGTACACCTGTATTAGGGTAAAACAATCGGAAATATTTTGACCTAAATATGGTTTCAGATTAATTTCAGATTGGTTTTATGAGCAATACCATATGGCGAATCACATTAAACGAAGTTTCTAGCGTGGATGCGTCTGGATTGAAAAACCGTTCACTCACTCTCACGTGAAGCCCTCTCTCTGAAGACCCCACCTGCAGTACCTCTGTACTCTCGCTAATAAGGCAATGTTGGTTCCTCCTTCAATAATCCGAAAAATGGTTTCAGATCTGTTTCAGATCGGTTTTACGGGCAATACAATATGGAGACTAACATAAAACTAAGTTCCTCGCACGGATGCATCTGGATTGAAAAACCGTTCACTCACTCTCACGTGAAGCTGTACTCTCGCTAATAAGGCAATGTTGGTTCCTCCTTCAATAATCCGAAAAATGGTTTCAGATCTGTTTCAGATCGATTTTACGGGCAATACAATATGGAGACTAACATAAAACTAAATTTCTCGCACGGATGCATCTGGATTGAAAAACCGTTCACTCACTCTCACGTGAAGCCCTCTGTCTGAAGACCCCACCTGGAGTGCCTCTCTATCTTGTTAATAAGGCAATGTTGGTTCCTGCTTTCATAATCCGAAAAAATGGTTTCAGATCAATTTCAGATTGGTTTTATGAGCAATACAACATGGCGACTAACATCAAACGAAATTTCTAGCGTGGATGCGTCTATATTGAAACACCGTTCACCAACGTTACTAAAACACTCAGTTGGGAAACTCCCATTGAGACAGCTTTGAAAAAGTGACCCCAATCTGTCTCCGAGCACCGAGCTAATGACGAACACAACGCCACCATCTCTCCCGCAGCGGCCACTCGAGAAACTGAAGTGACTTCCATCGTAAACCGGAGACACGGAAAAATAAAAAAAACGGACAAAACAACAACAAGTCTCAAACACAGCTTCTAGTTTATTTGAACACCTCCGCTCTTATATATACACAACAACCCTCCTCTCCAAAGGTCGACACACCTCCTCTCCACTCTATCAACGACATCTCAAACTGAACCAATGACACATGCTACCTCCCTTCCTTTCATACCAACCAAAAACTGACCCCTTTCCAATCCAAGAAACAGGCACTCAAACCCTGCTAACAATAAAAACACCCCCCCCCCCCCACAAAAAAAAAAAAAAAGATTGGTTTTTCGGAACCGACCAGCCACAACTGATAACAGGCCTATCGAACAGACACGGTGTTAGCATTCAACCACCCCTCAAAAACTTGTCAAAAACTTGTCAAGTAACTTGTCAAGTAACTTGTCAAGTAGGAGTTGTATACGACATTCCGTTGCGGTGTGGATTGTCTTATGTAGGCGAAACTGGTCGCTGTTTGAATGATAGGTTGCTGGAACATAAAAGGGCGGTAAAAGACAATGCGCAGAATTCAGAAATAGCTAAACATAATGTAGACTGCAATCACTGTCAGCCTGAGTGGAGGGATACCCAGGTATTGCATAAAGAGAAAGAAAATGGTAGGAGAGTTGTGAGGGAGACTTTATGTATTTTGGAGCGTGGCAATTGTGTCAGCACACCGTCCTTGGGTTTCGGAAGTGAACTGAAACGCTTTCTATGTCTCTAATTTCTTTTTTTTTTTAAGGGGTGGTTGAATGCTAACACCGTGTCTGTTCGATAGGCCTGTTATCAGTTGTGGCTGGTCGGTTCCGAAAAACCTATCTTCTTTTTTTTTTTTTTTTTTTGGGGGGGGGGGGGGGGTGTTTTCATTGTTAGCAGGGTTTGAGTGCCTGTTTCTTGGATTGGAAAGGGGTCATCAAAGCTGTGTGTTGGGCTCGTGTCTGTCTTGTCTCTCTTTCTTTTGTCCTCGTCCAAAAAAGCGCTACCATGCCTTTGGCAACCCAAGAAAGGGGTCAGTTTTTGGTTGGTATGAAAGGAAGGGAGGTAGCATGTGTCATTGGTTCAGTTTGAGATGTCGTTGATGGAGTGGAGAGGAGGTGTGTCGACCTTTGGAGAGGAGGGTTGTTGTGTATATATAAGAGCGGAGGTGTTCAAATAAACTAGAAGCTCTGTTTGAGACTTGTTGTTGTTTTGTCCGTTTTTTTATTTTTCCGTGTCTCCTGTTTACGATGGAAGTTCTTCACCAGCTCGCCTGTGCTTTTACCCTTTCTTCGTGAAGTGACTTCTACTTTGGCTTTAAGAACAGATACAGCAGAAGAGGTTACAGGGGCGCCACCCCCGTCTCCCCGGCGGACGCGCCGCGTCGAACTACCGAAGTTAAAATGCACCTAGGTCAGGACGCGCTACCTGAAGGGACCGGTGAGGCCTGGTTGTATAAAAACAATATTAATTGTTCCGCAAAACCCTGCAAACTAAAGATTTTAAAAACATAACGCGCCCCTCTTTTTGTACTAAACTCCAATAAATTTAATACAAAAAGAGTCTTTTCCGTTTGTTTTTACGCAAAAACAGGCTTTCAAAAAGCTCAAGGTGACCACAGTACAGACAAAGATAAAGAGTGGCGCTGTTGTCGTATTTAGCTCGGTCTCGGTGGACGCCAGCGGCCCAGGTTTCGACGGCGAGTTTCCCAACTGAGTGTTTTAGTAACGTTGCCGTTCACTCATCATCATGGGAAGCCCTCTCTCTGAAGACCCCACCTGCAGTGCCTCTCTACTGTCGTTGATAAGGCAATGTTGGTTCCTGCTTTCATAATCCGAAAAATATGGTTCCAGATCAATTTCAGATTGGTTTTATGAGCAATACAATATGGCGACTAACATCAAACGAAGTTTCTAGCGTGGCCTTTTGAACGGTATTAGCGCACACGTACGAAGAAGAGAGAAGAGACAGAAAAGAGCGCTACTCACAACTGTATTTACAAAGATGACGAAAAGGAAGAATATCGTCAAGATCCCCATAAAGTTGACAAAAAGAAAGAAAAGGAAGCTGCAAACTAAAACAGGAATATAAAACACAAAGTCGGGTGTTCCCTCGCGCGCACAAGCTTGATACACTGGTTCTTTGATTAAACACCAAAACCTTTGTTCGCCTTTATGTTGCCGTGGTACAGGGTGTATTTGCACCAGTCTTCGCTCGCGCTGGGTCACCTTTGTCAGAGGGGAAGACGAACACCTTACCGTGGTCGGCTGTCGCTTGGTCATCGTGCCTGATGTCTCGCGGCACCCGTGACTCATGCGAGTTCTGCATTGTCCGAGTTAAAAAGTCCGTTTCCTTGCTCTTTAAAGGGATACTTCAACGAAAATTGAAATATTCCCGTCATGTTCAAAAATAGGTTGAACATGATCCACAATATCTGTAAATGACAATCGCACGTTTGTATTTTGATCCTGGTGCTGTATTTTTCATTATTGAACGGTCCACTCTGGCAAGCCCTCGGACAAGGCCCAGCTTAGAGCACGTGACATTCAACGCAATCGTGACGTAGGTCGTCTCAAGACGAGCAAAGCTACGGCGAGACTGACGTCGAGAGGATGGCCTAGTCGTTCCAGCCACCGAAGCGGCTGCTTTTGTACGAATGTTGAGTGACGGGTTAATCTTCTATAATCTTCTAGGGGGACAATAGCGACTCCTGCGACACACAAAAGGGATTCTCGGGAAGAGAGGAGTTCCTCCTTCCCCCCTTCTCTCGTCGTGGCCGGAGACGAGACAACCTTCGTCACTAGCTGTCAAGGTTCTTAGACGAGCAATACAAACGAGGCGTTAGCGACATCCACCAGGTGCTCTTTGCTAATCGTTTAATTCGTTTTAGAATTCCTTTTCGAATCTTTCTTGACAAGATATTGGTATGTTCCATGTGATACTGCTCTTCTGAACACATATAGACTAAAAAATGAGCGCCGAAATTTCGTTGTAGTATCCCTTTAAGGCTACCGATGCAACACTAATGCATTTATTAGCAGCGGATATGATGTAGAAGGCTTCCACAACCTCGCGGGTCAATTTATCTTTGTGCCTCTCAAGGGTTATTGTTTCGCCGAACAGCGGATTGCAATTGCACTCTTTGCAATGTGTTGTGAGACGGCCTCCCACTGTGGCTCTCAGAGAATAATCATGCTCGCGAAGTCCGTCATTAAGACACTTGCCTGTTTGACCTACGTAGATCTTGCCGCACGAGAGTGGAATCTTACATACCACGCCTGAAGTGCACGGAACAAAAGGTTTAGCATGTTTTTTAGTGCACCTGTGCCTTGTGGCACCTTCGGCTAGCGATTTGACTATAGAGCAAATTTTGCCCATTTTTTGCGGGGCTGAGAAAACCACTGGGACCCCATAGCGACTTGCAACGTTCTTTAAATTGTGTGACGTCTTGTGGAGGTGCGGGATTATCAGAGGTCTTGTCTTTCCTACATCTGGTTTGTTGGCTTGGAGACCTTTTGCCTTTTTCAACAAGGTGTCCGCTACATTAACCAGTAGTGGTAACGGATAGCTGGCTTTTCTGAGTCTTTCAACCTGCATCGAGAAGCTGGCTCCCATTGTGGGGCAACACGATTTCTTTAGCGCGGATCCCAAACATGTTAGAGCAATGCCCCTCTTGACGAACTTAGAGTGAGCC